GACCTGAGCCGAAGGCAGACACTTATCCGCTGAGCCACCCAGGCGCCCCAGACGGGAGGTTGTCTTATCATCCCAGTTTCTGCGCGAGGAACCAGTCGCCAGAGACGTGATCTAAGTTGCCCCAGGTGTGTCCCAGGCGGTCAGAGCCCGGGTTCCATCTGGGGCTGTCGGGCTCCGAGCTGGCCTCAGGCGCGCCACCTGGCTGGGGCAGCCATGACATCACCACCACCTCGACCACCCAGAGGCAGAGGCAACAACTGCCCCTCCACGTGGGTCTCATTTTTAAGACCCTGGGCACCTTTCCCTGAAGGCCCCTGGCCGCTCTCCCATCCCTGTCTCGGCGGCAGCACTGGGTCGTGGGTGTCTCCTGGTTGACCTGGAAATGCCCAGGGCCATGGCCTTGGCTGAGTAGCTCAGAGCGGGGATTGCTGGCCCCGGCTACACAGTAGAATCACGTAGAGAGCTTAAATTTAAAAAATCTGGCCTTACCCCTCACCCAGAGCTTCTAACGTAAAGGGTTTTTTTTTTTTTTTTTTTTTTTTTTTCATGGGCCCTGGATGTTTGTCCGGGCAGCAGGGAGGGAGGTGGACCGGCTGCTTGCTGGGTGGCCAGCCCAAGCTGTGGTGCCTGCCAGATGAGGCCCAAGGCAGCAGATGACCTCGCGGCAAGGTTGGCTAGAGCCCCTGGGCCCTCTGGGCTTCCTTCCTGCTCTCTCCCGGCCCCATGAGCTGCCACGCCCACCTTTCCTCCATTCGGTCGAGAGAGGGGATGGTTGCTTCCGCCTTGCCAGGCCCGGTGATGGGTGCATGCTTTACTTGATTCCCCCACACCCTGCTGCCCCTCTGGACCTCTGAATTAATGAGGATTCACTCTGGTCCACGGTGAGAGAAACTCAACTCAAACTACCGTGAGCAGAAAAGAGGATTTCACGAGGTTGTGCATCCATCGTGGGGGGTGGTCTGGCTTAGGAATGACTGAGGACTTCTTCATCTGCTGTGCTTGGGCTAATCTCCAGGCATGGGAAAAATAATCCCAGCAGCTCTGGGCTTCCACGCTGGCCCCTCACAACCAGAGAGGAAGCCAGAACTTCTCTCTCCCACTGTCCGTTTGCAAACGTCCCTGGGAGGATCCTGATTGGCCCAGCTCAGGTCCCATACTCATTCCTTGCTCGGTTGCTGTGTTGAGGGGCTGAGAAACCAAGATTGGTCCAGCTTAGGTCCTGTGGCTTGCTCTGCGGCCAGGGTCCGGGAGAAGAGGTGCTGGACAGACAGACAGACAGTGGCCCTTCTCCCCTGCCCCGTGCAGAGGGCCTTGGCATTAGGAGTTTTAAGGTAACATGAGTTTATGATCTGTGAGCCCCCGGCCAGTGCTCCACAGTAGCTCCCGTGTCCCCCATTCCTGGGGGGCTCAACTGTCATTCCAGATGAAGAGCATGAACGTGGGGGACCCACGAACCTTCCCTTTCATCGAGCCCCCACCACCAGCCAGCCTGGAAACGGCCATCCTCTACCTCCGGGACCAGGGGGCCCTGGACAGCTCCGAGGCCCTCACCCCCATCGGGTCCCTACTGGCCCAGCTGCCGGTGGATGTTGTGATTGGTAAGGACTTCCTTCAGAGTGGTCACCCAGGGCGCTGGGAGTGGCTGCGGGGACCGTTCATGCTCTGAGCGACTCATAGGGCCAGCCTGTTCCTTCTCTGGGCCCCGTCGGTTCGGTCACGAGTTCCCTGTTCCGGGCGCTGGGTTACAGCAGTAAACAAACAGGCCCCTCTCTTCCCCACACACCCTGTTCCCAGCTCCACCCTGGTGTTCCCTCTCTTGGTGTCGTAAGGATGTCAACATGGCCTGCCTCTTCCTGCTCATCTCTGAGTCATCCCTGCCCCTTCTGAGAAACTCGCTGACTGACGTGTGTTCTGGTCTGATTCTCCTGACTCGAGACGTTCTAGAGGCTCTGTGGCCCGCAGAGTATTTCCAGGCGAGCAGGACTCCTTGTGGCACTATTGGCTGGGCATGATGCTCCACAGAACCTTCTGCCCATGTTAACATCATTAACGTCCCCATCAGTGCACCATCCTGGAGCCTCAAGGGGGGACAGGAGCCTGGGGACCACCGACCCTGAGGGCCTCTCATGGTTATGAAGGTGGTTCTGTTTGTTTGAGGACACAGGGCTAGAGCAAGGGGAATCCGATCTGAGAAGAAAAAGAACGTTCTGTGAGCATTGGCCGTGTCAGTGAAAGGCTCTGTGGGCCTTCTGTCATTTCACCCTCACCTGGGGAGGGGAGGGCCTTTGGTCACCCCTTCTGTACAGACGAGGAAGTTGAAGATTGGCCAAGGACAGAGATCTGTACCCAAGGGCCTGGAGCAAGCAGGCAACAGGGCCTGGATTGAATCCGTGTGACGTGGGAGTAACTCAATCCAGCCTCAGAGATAGGTTGTCACTCACTTGCTCAGGGTCATGCTGTGGGCAGAGCTGGGAGGCACCCCAGCCAGGCGGACACTGTTGGTCCCCAAGCTCTGCGGGGACTCAGTGCCGGGAGGCTCCGGGCCCAGATGGCTCAGTCACCGTGCTTCGTCTGCGCCAGGTGGGGCGCCGAGTGCTTCCCGGTGCGGCACGGTCCGTTCTCATGGCAGCCAGACGCCGCCGTTAGCCCATTTCACCGACGGGAAGACAGAGGCGCAGAGAAACGGAGGGACTTGCCCAAGGGACAGAGCTAGAGGGTTCTGGGACAGCCTCGTTTTCTTGCCCAGCTTTATTTTACGAGGCTAGATGTGTAACAGGAACTTTCCAGAAAGGCAGCCAAGGGGACCAGAGAGGATGAGTCAGACGCGTGTTACGCAGGCCGCTGAGCACGGGGCAGGTAGGCGAGGGCCTGGTGGTGCTGCTTACGTCTTGCCCTGTCTTCCCTGCTCCCACTGCCCCCCCTTCCCCTCTCCCCCCACCTCCACCTTGAATTAAACAAAGATGGCAGGAGAGGATCCAGCGGAGGCAGGCACAGAAGTCAGTGCCCACGGTGTGCTGGGCCGGCTGTTGGGGCTCATGGGGAGTCCCGTTCTGGAGGGAGGAGGGAGAGACCGTGGGGGGTCAGAGCGAGTGCTGGAAGGAACACGAAGCCAGGAGGGGGTTGTGGGGGCGTCAGTTGTAGAGAGGAGAGCCAGGTGGGTGGGAGCAGTGCTGCCGACAGCAGCCAGCTCTCACCTGGGGCCCGAGGCAGTGAGACTGAGGTGACCTCCGGCCTACAGATGGGGAAACTGAGGCCTTGCCCAAACTCACGTGACTGGGAAGCAGAGTGTGGGCTTGATTCTGTCCCTGTGGCTCCCGAGGCCTTTGTGGGCCAGGTGGAGGGGGTTTGGGGCTGGCTGGGGGTGGGAGGTGGGGGGTGGCCGTCCCGGAGCCCAGGAGGCTCAGCCCGGTGTCCGCGTATGTCTTCCCGCCCCCGCCAGGGAAGATGCTGATCCTGGGCTCCATGTTCCACCTGGCGGAGCCCGTGCTCACCATCGCGGCTGCCCTCAGCGTCCAGTCGCCCTTCACCCGCAGTGCCCAGAGCCACCCGGAGTGTGCGACGGCACGGCGGCCCCTGGAGAGTGACCAGGGGGACCCCTTCACGCTCTTCAATGTCTTCAACGCCTGGGTGCAGGTGAGGCCGGCGGCGGGGCCACCCCTGTCTGTGACATTCTGCGTGGGGCCAGGGGAGGCCCGCTGCCCTGCCGAGGACCCCTGAGCCCTCTGCAAACTGGAAGGGCCCCGTCTCCACCATTCATTCCCAGGGCCCAGCCTCAAGGGGAGGCTGGTGGTGGTTTTTTATTTTTTTAAAGATTTTTATTTCAGAGAGAGTGTGTGCATGTACAAGTGTGGGGGAGCAGCAGACTCCCCACTTAGCAGGGAGCCTGATGTGGGGCTTGATCCCAGGATCCTGGGATCATGACCTGAGCCGAAGGCAGACGCTTAACCGGCTGAGCCATCCAGGCACCCGAGGCTGGGGTTTTTATTTTTATTTCTTTATTTTTAAAGATTTTATTTATTCATTTGTGACACAGAGATAGAGAGAGAGAGAGCATGAGCGGGGTGGGGGAGGGGGAGGAAGAGGGAGAGGGAGAAGCAGGCTCCCCGCTGAGCCAGGAGCCCGACGTGGGGCTTGATCCCAGGACCCTGGGATCACGACCTGAGCCGAAGGCAGACGCTTAACCATCTGAGCCACCCAGGCGCCCCCGAGGCTGGAGTTTTTAAAGCGCTGAATAAAAGCCCTGCCACCCAGGGGAGGGCCACACACTCCTAGGGTGGCACGTGTATATCCAGCACATGCTCTGGGCCTGGCCCTGTGCCGGGCAGTGCTGGGGACTGGTGGTGACTAAAAGCACGTGGCCCTGCCCTCCTGGGTTGCACAGTCCCGTGCAGAGAGGCAGACTTGTCCCCGGACTGTGACCACCAAGAATGGGCTGTGGTAGGCAGTCCAGGGGGCTGGGAGAGCCCAGAGGGGATGTCTGACCCCGTGTGGTCTGCAAGGGCTTCCTGTAGGAGGGGGCAGTGGCGCTGAGACCTGGAAGAAGAAGGAAAACACATGTGTCTCTGCCTCTTATTCTTCAGGAGCTGGTGTTTGGGCCTGTGCTGGGGGTGTCCGGGTGCTGGGTCAGCCCCTGCACCCTTCCCCAGCCGGCTAGGCCCTGACCCCCTGGTGTCCGGTTTTCCACCCAGGTGAAATCCGAACGGAGCAGAAACTCACGCAAGTGGTGCCGCCAGCGGGGCATAGAGGAGCACCGGCTGTACGAGATGGCCAACCTGCGGCGCCAGTTCAAGGTGAGGCTCGGGACCAAAGCTGGGAGGCTGGGTGGGGGAGGGGCAGTGAGTGCGGGTACACCACCCCTTTCCTTCTCTGATGGCGCAATCGGAGTCCCACCCTACACCCACCTCCTGCAACCCTCAGACACTCAGACGTGGGGTGGCCTGGGTGAGTCAAAGGGGGTGGAAATCCAGGAGGGCTTCCTGGAGAAGTGGACAGGGTCAGCGGTCACATGCTACATCCTCACGAAGAACCTGGCCGCCTGGAGCAGGGGTGCTGAGCTCTGGGAGGCAGCAGGGGGCGATGGCTGGCACATCAGATCCGGAGCGGACGTCCCAGTGGCAAGTCCCAGCTCCGTCATTCACTAGCAGTGCGATCCTGGGCAAGTTCCTGCACGGCCCTGGGCCTCAGCCTCCGTGCCGTCCTCTGAGGATTAAATGAGTTAATACACGAAGAGCCTTTAGGACAGGGCGAGTCCCTGGTGTCATCACTGCCCGTGATTGCAGATGGCCACACTGAGGCCCGGAGGGGGTGGTCACCCGACCGCGGCCTACCATGCAATTTTAGGAGCCTCCCCCCGATCGGGGACCGCGGATGTTCAGGCCATTCTCGGTATCTCACTTTGTGTTGGCCTGCAGACCCTGAGAGGGTAGTGAAAGGCAGGGGCCCCTTTCTCTGTGTCACACAGACATGACGTCCCGTGTCCTCTAAAACAGAGGGGCTGGCAGGTGGCAGGCCCTGTGTCCCTCACCTGCCCCCCCCCCCCCCCCAGGAGCTGTTGGAGGACCACGGGCTGCTGGCCCGGGCGCAGGCCGCGACACCAGGCGACAGCTACCGTCGGCTGCAGGAGCGCCGTGAGCGCAGGGCTCTGTACCACCTGAAGCGGCAGCACGAGGAGGGCGGGGGGCGCCGGCGCAAGGTGCTGAGGCTGCAGGAGGACCTGGACGGCGGCTCCAGCGACGAGGACCGGGGGCCCGGCGACAGCGTGGACATCCAGGTGGGCTGCGCTCTGCTCAGGAGACCCGGCTCCGTGGACAGGACCTGGTCCCCGCACTCTGCAGCACCCTGGGGTCCACGTGTCCTAGCGCCAGCCCCTTGGGTACCGGGCTGGGCCCCCCAGGAACCCACCATCCCCACCCCCCACCCCGCATTTCCCCCCAGGACGTGAAGTTTCAGCTGCGTCACAGCCTGGATCAGCTGCAGGCGGCCACCAGCTCAGCCCAGGACCTGACGCGGGACCAGATGGCCCTGCTCAAGCTGGTGCTGGGCCGGGGCCTCTACCCGCAGCTCGCCGTCCCGGATCCGTTCAACAGCAGTCGCAAGGACTCGGACCAGGTGGGCCTCCTCCTCGCGCCCTGGACCCACGTGCGCGTCATCACTCAGCACGCCTTCCCAGCCCTGCTCGGTGCTGGGGACTTGGCAGCTATGGGAACAGTCCTGGCCCTGCCCTCACGGGGCTCCGGTGCAGTGTGGGGGTGTCAGGGAAGGCTTCCTGGAAGAGGGGACTTTTTTTTTTTTTTTAAGATTTTATTTATTTATTTGAGAGAGAGAGAATGAGAGACAGAGAGCATGAGAGGGAGGAGGGTCAGAGGG